CATGCTGCCAAGTGAATATTTTGTGGTAATATTTTTTGGCTATAGCCTTACCAAACAAATTTTTGGGAAACAAATCCCAAAACAAATCCCAAAACTTTTTACAAAATTACAAAACAATTGTCAAAATCTTTTAGTTTTTTACCAAAAATGATACAAAAGTTGACATTTTGAAAGAAAATTTTAGCAAAGAAAATTAAAAAAAAAAATTTTTTTACATGGCTTTATTTTATGAGATACCTGCAGAAAAAGATACAATTTTAAAAAATAATTTTACAAAGATTTTCATCAATTGTTTTAGTTTTTGACCAAAAATGACAAAATGTTCACATTTTGAAAATATAAAATGAAATTTCAAAAAATTTAGAATTGAGTTTTTTATCGAAATTTTTCAACATATGACCACATTTTTTCAAGTTTAGATTTGAAAATGTTAAAAATGTTTGTATGTACTACATAGAGTAAATAGATTAGTATATGCAGTAGATAGAAGTTTCCATTTCATCTCTGTAGTAGCAGTGGAGCTCTTCTAGTCTACTTTTACACTTCAAATACACGTCAAATTGATGGAAACTTTCATTTTTTCTATATGATACTGTTTGTAAGTATGGCAGCAACACCATTTATGTCTCTTGTTCATTTCCGTGTCTGTTTGATGATCTGTCTCATCACAGCACTATGTCCATACCCACTGCACCAGTCTGAAGGTCAGATGTCAGGCCTTAAAGAAGAGTTCACTGTTCCTGCTGTGGCAGCTCCGACTCCAGGAACGCTCCAGCAGCGTAAACTCAACAGTTTTTCATTAGAGGAACAGAAAATCCTCCTCTCTTTGGACAGACTCAACCACAGATTACACTGTAAGTTACACAACCATGGTAGAAGCTAATGGGCGACAGTGTTGTGATGTAGTGACTTCAGTGCAGGGTAATCTGTCTGCTGCTCTTGGTAGGTGTCCAAGAACAGGGTCCAAATCATGCTCGCACCCAGCAGTTTGTTCTATTAGTAAGTATGAATTAATATAAGGAATTCACTCATCTGACTGTTCTGTCACTGTGTAAATGTTTAAATACTTTTATTGTTTAATTTCATCCCTTTCAGACGAAGGAAATGAAAGTCACAAACCCTGACAATCAAAACACATTGCTGTCAAACAGGAGTGCCCGACAGCTGAGGAAATAATAATATAGACTGTACTTTTATGATAAAGCTGTACTTTTCTCTGAAGTGTTTTCTTTATAATTGGTAACCAAGAACATTTTTACCCTCCAGGACATCTGATCTAATCTCTTTTCAAACCAGTCATGCCTTTGGAGTTTCCTCCAGATGTTTTTATGACACAGTGAAATGTAAAAATGTAAAGAAAGAGCAAAAATCGATTGGATAAGAATCCAATGTAGAAAATGTATTTTACTATAATATTAGTAGTAACCTATAACCTATTATAAAACATAGATTATGATTTTATATCAAATTGAAAACACAGTCTGGTTAGTCTCTCATGTTTTTCAAAAAAGTGTGTCTCAGGCAGTCAGTGGATATCTTTCTAGGTATTTTTCTCACATTGGAAATATCTTTTGGTTATCTTTCTATTATTTATGTTATCCCTGTGTTAACTTTAAGGTCTTTGGCTAATCGTTAGCTTTTGGTTTGTGTCTCTCTCTGCTTACCTATGACTATGTAAGTTGGCTCTTAGTTCATCTTCACCTTTTGTATTTATATTTTTATGAGCAACATGTCCTGCTTGGTGATAGCTAATCCTTCATCACCGTTTAAAGGTAAATGGTCAGACTGGACAGGTTCTTTGAAAACTGACATTCCATTTAGACTTCAAAGAACCATAATACTTTTCAAAAAAATGTCCAAATACGTCTCCTCAAAAGGTTACGTAAGTGCATAACCTAAGGGAAAGATTTCCAAATTTAAAAGCATTTGTATTGCCTGAAATTCATACATAAGATAATTTCGAATGCATCACTAATGTTATTTTTGGCTCTCTTCAGACAAAGCTGTCTCTCATCTGTAATCTTACAATCCTTTTGAAAGTCTGTGATTTATTGCCTTTGGAAAAAAAACACAACAAAACACAAAGGTATGTGTTCAGTCATTAGTATTTACTTGGTTTACTACTACATTTTGGTTTTAAAGCACTACAGGACATCTACTCTATGCACTTTACAGTTTGAAGTGACTGTGCAAAACACAATGGCTTCGTTTTTTTTTGTCTTATAGTTCAAGACATTTTGCACCTTTATTTCCATTTTGTCCTAAAACTTTAATTTCACATTATCTGTTTTGAGACCGCACTGAAAGAGGAGAGTTGTCAGTGTTGAGTGATAAATTGCCAGGTTGTTAGCTACTTGTCCCTGTTTCCTCTGTCAACGCAGCGGTCAATAAAGTGACTGAGGAGCGGAAGTGGTTCATAAAAAAAGCGGCGTTGTGAAGGTGTAGCTATGTTTGTCTTTCTTTTACAGCGGCAGGAAGGACAATTATGTCTTGTGCAGTGAGACTCAACTTACTGGCCAAACAAGGAGAGCTTCTGCCACAGGGCCTCCAGCTATTTGTTGTAAATACATCTACGCTGAAATGTGCTCAGGTTGTTGAATAATCCCTAAATTATGAGACATTACAATAAGAACTGGCATCATTTCATCCCAACTGTCAATTACTTCATTGTCAAATGAGAAGGCCGTTATTTAAGGGATCATGTCCGTCTCTCGCCCTTAAAAACGTGCATCAGAAGAAGAAAAAATAGCTGCAGGTATTATTACTGAGAGTTCAACAGCCCCTCCTTCTGCAGCGTGTCTGGTTTTGCCCTTCTATCTGCCTGCTGCAACATGCTGCAGGAGTTAGAGGAGGCCCGAGCTCCTTTCCAGGATCACGTTCCTATAGGTGATGAAATACTAAAGGTTTACCTGCTGCTTCTTTACCTGCATAAACACACCCTTGTTTCCTTTAAGGCAAAAATCAGGACCATGGTGTGATTACCAACCACAGCGTATTCCCACATCATCAAACAAATGATATACAGTACATGGTCCTTAGTGTCTTCATCTGTTCTTGGTGATGTGGGGAAAATGTTCTCTTCCATTTTTAATAATGTCCAGGGCAGAATTTTATGAAATGTTAGCTGTTGTCTTCCTAGTTCTTTTTTTGTTTGTTTGTTTTTTGAAAACCCAAAAAAGCTTCACGCTTTTCTTTTAGCAATATTTGCAATATTGAAGCCTAATTATATCTTTAAACTATTTTTAGATACAAATCCATTCATTTAAAAAGTTGGTAAACATCCTAATATCAAGCCAAAGATAGCATTTGTATCACAGTTTGACATGTTAGCTTTTCTTTTTTAGGCAGAAAAACACAGGGAGATTTTTATTATCATTTTTTTATTTTTTATTTTTTTACAGACTAAGAGAATTCACTTTGTTCACCATATATAGTTTAGAAATGTACTCCTGCAATACACTTCAAAACATGTATTTTACAGAAATAAACCTGCAATATGTATAAGCCAGGCGTTAGCATCAGTTACAATTACAAAAAGACTTGCAGGTTATAAATTTTATATAAGCTGCAATTCATGTTTCCTAACCATTTCCCATACTGCAGTATATTGTAATCAGTGCCAGAAAATGATAATAGCTCTTTATTCTAATGCTTTGCACGTTTGTTTTTCAGTGAAAAGACTAATAGCTAAATGTTTTTGTTGGTAATTGACCAACTTGCATATTTTTATACATTTTGTGCCAATTGTTCTTCGAATTTGACTTTTTTGTAGGATGATTTTCCTTACTTACCTTAATTTTAACTACTTTATTTCAGCTTTTTTGGCTGCTTTTCTGAGCATAACTTTTTGCCTGCCCCCCAAAGGCCAGTCATTTCAGGGCTAACCCTGAGTTTTGTTAGGAAGCTTTATGGCTAACTATAACCTTGTTCTGCCTAACTCCTAGTAATTTCCCACATTTCTTTGGACTCTTAAATGCTAAAATTGCACCTATACCTTTTTCTTATAAACTTTCAGTTATATAATTTGTAATTGCAGTTAACAGACAATAGTTGTTCTTGTCGCAAAAGCCTGATGTGTAACTATGCCGCCCCCTAATTAGAAGGAGAAGGAGAATTGTAAATGTCACAAAGGGATTTTATTTCAGCTCCCACTTATATCTGACCTTTTCACTAGTTCTAGTGTAGGATAGCAATACCACCAGCATTCCATTGGAATTGGAACCTGATGGCAATGGAATACACGGGCACAAAATGTAAACCAGCAAATCAGGTGTTATCTGGGCAACATACAGTAGCCTTACAGGCCTAAATAAACTCTCACTGTTTATTCTCCTACAGCTGCCTCTTTCTTACCGCCCCCCTGCACTAACCCCCTCAGCACTCACAGTCATTACACTTCACAATGCTGAGAGTAATGACATTTAAGCCTTTCATCGGCACAACACCCTAAAACTCAACAAGAAAGGGCAAAGAGTGTTGAAAATGAGGCAAGACATTTCCACAGATGCAAGTTTAAGCATGTAGTTTGGTCTGTCGTGAGGCTCAATCTCTCACGAGAATTCTGTCGTGTTTTGTTACGCTTTATTTAACATGCGTGGGACAATCTGTCTGGTCTAGCCCATTCTTTTTTAACCAATAATTACATAGATGCATGTACAATGAAAAATAATAACAGCTTTGTGTATCACTATTAAAAGACAAATCACTAACAGATGTTGATGTCAGTTAAAAATAGATTCGTTTGTATGTGGTAGGAAAAATACTGCACAGTTGGTTTAATGGTTTAATAACTATTCATTATTTTTTTTAAATTAAGAAAAAAAGAATACAAGCAAAGAATAGTAAATTAAAATTGAATCAAAATCTCTAACGACGAGGCTTTGCTTTCATGCCAGCAGCAGTTTCATAGGTTCACATACTCAAAGAGATTTTATTGGATCAGTCAAATTTAAGATTAACCAGTGGCTTCAAAAGCTGCTAATGATTGTCATTGCGGAATAAAACAGAAACAGCTGTGTGGGTGAAGTGATGGCAAAACTTTGAATACTTGTGAGGTCACACTGTCGCAGAAATTAAAATGATTTAATTGCATCAGCTGCGCCTGCTCTGACGAGGTTTTAGAAATGATGATTGATTTAGAAAATGATTTAGAAAAGAATCTTTTTGCTGGAACATAAAGAAACTGCCAGTGTCTCTTATCTGTGTTGAATATTAGAGACATGTTTAATTACTCCAACTGAGAAAATGTAGCTCTGTAGTCAAATCAAAACTTACTTCACCTTACACGTTTATCAACTGTCCAAAAAAGTGTGGACAATAAATGGTATTTATAGAAGGATTGCTGTCCTGTTACCAAACCTCTTACATTGGAACAAGGCCAGCTGACTCAACTCCGCACAGAAATGTAGAAACTGAGGATTGACAGATGAGTGTTGATGAGTGATGACTGTCTGCTGAAAGACCGAGGAGTGGTTCAATCATTTGCATCTATAGCCAACAGTGAAGCCTGATGGTGCTTCCTTGCAGGTTGTATTAGGCAATACTACCAATGAGGGGCTTCACTGGAATTCTTTCTTTAGTAGGACAAAGACCAAAAACACACAAGGGAAGTAAAAAAAAATTCCAAGACAAATTTAAAAACTTTGCAAACATAATATTTTTATATTGACTATGTTTTTCTAAAATATTCTCTATTAAAGTTTAAATATATCTGCCATGGGTGTTTTTAGCATTTTATTTTCTTTGTATAGTCATGGGGATGTCTATTGCACCAGGTCACATCCTACTTCTTTGCCTTATCAACGGAGTGAAATTGACTTCTTTTTAATTATTTTTTTTTTTAGCTTTGGGAAAATAAAATCTGATGAAGCTAGCTTCCAAACATGGTAAAAAGCTTACAAAAACGGGATTAAATTTAAGTTTGATGTTTTTAAAATAATAAATAAATAAAATGTAATTTTTTTGAGGGTTGAGAAACCTCATCAAATCAAACACCCTAGATAAACGATTACGAAAGAACGTGTCCTTGCCAAAGACATGTTTAACTTCAAAATCATTTCCCTCATTTAAAGATATCCTTTTGACTTTTCGACTGTTTTAGTCAGATTTTTTTTCCCTCACACTTTGACATTTCTTCCTAGAGCTGGGCTGTGCATTTCACAACCCCCGGGCCACAACCGGTATGTCCGCCCCTGACGGGCTAGAGGGCAATCATAAATTAAACCATAAATTCAAAAAAGAATATATGCGACACAAACGTCCGGCTTTTATTTTGATTTTTTTATATACATACGGCGTACTTTAAAATTATTACATTTTCGACCTACCTTCATATCAGGATGAATAGTAGTTTTATTATACTGAATGACGTTCCAACAGTTCCCTTGACTTAATTTACAAACCGAATATATAAATACAAATTCGGTTTGTGTACACGAAATTGTTGGTGAAATATAAAATTGTTTCTGAAAGTTGTGCAGATGTGGAAGATGTTAAAATGTTTTAGCATAAAAAATAAGAGTTGTATCTAGTGTGTTGACAAACTATTTCAAATTTTATACGGGACGCGATAAAGGCTTCCCTTTGTTGTGATTACGTTTACTAGTTAGAGACAGAAGGGGGCACTACAGAGCCAATAGCAGCACCCTACGTCACTGTGACCGATAGTAACACGGGAGCAAGGCGTTTGGAACAGACTGTTTCTGCAGCCGCCCTCATCTCAGGAGTCAGCACTGACTGACTGAGTGAAACCGAGTCTGCAGTGGATCCAGTTAAACCCGACTAAGGTCTAGTTGGGTGGTGCCTTCAAGGACACTCGTTGCAGTTCGTCTTTTCTCCGTGTTTGATAGATCGGGACAGTAATGTGAAAGCCAGCACTTTCACCCAAAATATTGAACGAAACCTGAGAGGAACCGCGATTCTCTCAAAAATACAGCCTTATGTTGCGTTCACATCGTTGTGAAACATGACATTCTAGTAATTTCTCCCGATATTTTACCAAGTCGGGAGCTATATTCGAATATTTACAAAACTCGTATTTCTTGACTATGCAAATCTATCGTTTAATAATCTAATTGTTTTGCTGCTTTGTTTTATTTTACTTCCACCGTATATACTAACATGAGTGTACTATTTGATAACAACGGTTCGACTTTAATCTGCTGTTGATACATTTTGTGCTTCTTAAAGTAATTTCTTTGTTTGCTGGTTGAATGTTATATGTCTAGATAATCTGGTTAAGTTATGGTTATCTTTTGGCTTTTTAAAATATTGTCTTTAGGATATTATGACTTGGGCTAACCAAATCACCTACATTTTTTTTAGCTAACATTAACAATTATATTTGGAAATTTTCTGTCAATCTTGTTGTCATTTGTGATGTATTTATACAATTTTGTAAAATGGCCTAAAAGTATTACAAGTATTACATTTTAATTATTTAACAAAACAATTTCTATATTTTATGTTCTGACAATTTTGCTAGGACGTATGCAACTTTATTTATTTGTGCTACAACTTTTAGTAATCTTTTATATCTATATATTAATTATTTTGACTAATACTGTAACTTGTGGTTGTTTACTACAGTTTTGTGAGTCAATTGTGAAGACATTCACGATCTGTCTGTGAAAACAAGGCCATGTAACTAGTATAAATGTTATGATCTATTTGGAGAAAAGCCTTCTCTAAAGTAATGTGATTAAACTTTAGAATAAAATAAATTTTGTTTGCTTGCACTGAAAAGTCTATGAAACAATATGAGTAAAGGGAATCAGTAAATGCCCTATATATGCTGGAGGTCTTTTCAGACCGTCTTGAGGTTTAAAAAGAATGAACAAAATGGAGAATTATTTATAATGTCATGAAAAACAATATCAACCCTGCTGCAGTTTATAAATTGTTTTTCAAATACCCAGTAATGTGTGCATTGATGCAAATCTTTTCAGTGACATGGTTGAATGTGTGTGATTGGCACAGGGAAGCTCTTTAATCTGTCCACTGGGGCTTTTACAGTGTGTGTGGGTATTTAACTGGGCTTCATAATCATTCATTCAGTAGATGTATGGGAAAAGAGCCTGTGCAGCCAAAGAGACTGGATCTTGACAAAATGATTTCTCAATGGAAGAGGGGCCTCATTAGCATAACAATCCATGGGAACTGCATGGATCTACTTTTTTCATGAACACTGTAAAAAAGAAAGAGAGTGAACAACAGAGTGAAAACTATTATAATGCCGTTATACAAACCTATAAGCAAAGGTGACCTATTATTTTCTTTATCTGGCACAGATTTGAAATTAAAGAGTACAACTCTTCCTTTTTTTAACTAAAGGATGTAATAAAATAAAGTGTTTTACCTCAAACTTAATTGAAAAAACAGATTGACAGTTTTCCACAATTAGTTTTATCTTTATTAGTTAGTCAATTATACAGATTAAACTTGAAACTTGAAACAATTAAATGAACAAGAGCTCATAGCAGGACAAAAGCTACAAAATATTGGTTCAATGGTCACAAAACATTACCCAAAATAAAGAAGCTGTAAATGTAAAAATTATGGTAAGCTAAATTGGCTCAAACTGGCCAAAATGTTGACATAAGAACAGCAAATTTGATTAGATTAGTGTAAAAATAAAATAACAATTTCTAAAACATAAATAGCAATAACTGAAGTATTAAAGTTATTTCCCTTGTTAAATTGTCACACAGGCATAAAAACTCACAACTGATACCACTGCCAAACTTTGAAAAACAATATAAACAATATGTACAAAACATATACAAAATAGGCATCAAATATAAACAACACAGTTTAAGAGAAAGAAAATATATATATATATACTGTATATAATTTTTTTATAATTTTTTGATGAAATTATTTTCTGTGCAATCCACATTATGTTCTGTTAGTTTAAAGCTACTTTAGGAAACATATCTCAACATCAAACTGTGAGAAGGAAACTTAAAGTGGATTAACCTTAAAGTAAAATATTAATTAATATTAATAATATTTATGACGCTTTAGAATATATAAATTTGGGAAGAAAATTAACAATATAAACTTTCAGCGACACTTTTATTATTAAGTTCATCTGCATGGAAGCGTTGGTGGTTTGTGACTTTTTTAAGGTGGTTGCGGTTTTTTTTATATATATTTCTCAAACAAAAAGCCAGTTTTTGAATGTAAACAGAGAAATCTCTGATGTAAAGAAAGTTCCAGGGCCTCTGGGCTGCACTGACTGTACCTTTAAAGACTCTTGTCCCAATTAAAGCCAAGCTCCTCCCCTGGAGCAGACATCCCATGAGTCATAAAGTTTGATGTCCTGCCCAAAGTTTAGACCCGACTGGAACAAAACTTTTTTTTCTCTCTCGCTCCATCTGTAGAAAGTGAGCTGCAGAGATTTGTCCCATCAGCCATGATTTCTCCTTCGCTTTACCGGAGTGTTTACTAACTTTTTTTTAGTAGGTATAATGTTTAATGTGTGAATCCTGTTTTTTTCCCCAGCGCGGCATCTGTTTTGTTTTTTCGTTTTTCTTTTGTGTTTGCGTCTGCGTTTTTAGGAAAAGCTGTGGCCGGACAACAACACGGATTCCACAGCAGAGTTTAGATATGTGCTTTGGTACTTTTACCAAAGTATGCCAACGGGAAAGAACAGGGACTTTGCTGCAGTGCGTCTCCGTTAACGCAAAAACTACTCGGCGGGTGAAACTTTAGAATGACTCTGGAGAACTTCTACTGAAGTGGCGTCGACATTTCCAGATTTCCTGCTGCGTGAAAAGTTCGGGAATTCGGCTGAAAGTGTCTCTCTCCTGCGCTCTTACTCGAGTGAGATATTTTCGGATTTACATTTATTGAAGTAAAAGTTGTCAAACTCTTGTGAGACAATGGATCCGAGCCAGCACAACCCTCCAGCCGGACACCAGATCGTCCATGTACGAGGTGACTCAGAGACGGACCTGGAGACGCTGTTCAACGCCGTCATGAACCCGAAAAACACCATCATCCCCCCCTCTGTACCGATGAGGATGAGAAAGCTACCGGACTCCTTCTTCAAACCCCCAGAACCAAAGTCCCATTCCAGACAAGTAAGCCCGCCCTGTCTTTCTGCTGCCCCCTTTCCCAGAAATCACGATGAAAGGCCTTAATATCCTGTGTGTGTGTGTGTGTGTGTGTGTTTGTGTGTGTTTGCGTGCGTGCGTGCGTGCGCTGCGCAGTAGGCCTCCTCAACATATCCAGCTCCGTGCTGTTGTTGTTTCTTTTGTATATGAAGGAATGTTGTGTTCATTTGTTGAACAAGGCCTTAAATATTTATACACTTGTATTATTCAAGTAAACGCAGAACTAAAGTTTCGGTAATAAAGTCTAATTAGTTTAGAGTCGTAAAAAAGATTAGGTAAAATGACTCAGGTTCAGTCAAAGATTCAAGATTCAAAGCATTTATTGTCATGTGTACAGTAAGGAAAGCAGGTTTCCCTGTACAATGAAAATTTTACTTTGCTGTCCACACTGAATGCCAAAGAAATCAAGAAATAAAAATAACAAAATATACTCAGGAATAAAATAACAAAATATACACAATATACACTGCGAATTGCGAATATCTGGATTTAAAGGGTTTTTTTGTGTAGAAGAGAGTGCTCTGTACAAAAGGTGGAAACAAATGTCATGGAGTTCCTGTACAAAAGGTGGAAACAAATGTCATTTCAGTTAATTTTTTATTGCTATACCGATCGATTTGACAATGATGAAATCATATGATAGTTGAATTCGTCCTATTCATCCCACCCCCCTTCCCTTTTCCCTTAAGTGCGCCCCTGAACACACACACATACACATACATAGTAGTGGTTGTGGAGTTCTCCGTCAGCGTCAGTGCGCATGTGTTGTTGTGCGGCACAACCACCCCGCCCTCCCCTCCTTTAGACCCAAACAACACAGTCCAACAGGCCCACACATGCACGTGAAGTAACGATGACTTCCGAACCCGTATGTGAAGTCATTTCAAGAAAGTGTAAAATCTGTAATTTTGTGTGGTCTTTAAAAGAATCTCACAAACGTCACCAATTTCTTTATGGTGCATTGTTTTTTTTCATCATGTACTGTTTTCTGTGAAAATTGCATGAAATTTAATTTCACACCAATGACTAAAACCCCCTCCAAAATATTTAAAACATATTGATCATAGCTTTATATAACGAACAAAACAAGCAAATATAAAAACTGGATAAAGCCAAATTGTAGGCTATTGTTGCAGGGTGAGTGCCTGGAATGGCATCTTTATTGCTTAGAAATAGAAATTAACCAGAATATATCCATAAGTTTACGAAACTTTGTAATATAAAGGAGTCATTTGTACAGAGAAATTTTACGCTCAAGGTAATAAAAGCTGTGATAATACAGAAATAAAAACCCATACATTTATAAATATAAATCTATGTGAATATGTATAATAAGAGATTTATGAGAACAAAGTCAATTATTGGAAATATATAAAATAAATGATATATAAATAAATTCTAGAACCAAAACATTAAATTTCAAGAAGCAAGGGAATAATTGCCAGTGCAGTAAAACAGCTTTAACCGATTGCTATGACATTAATTTCCCCAAAATTTACAACTGTTTTCTTGTAAATTTACAACTTTATTCTCATGATGTCATGTTTCCCCTCAATTTGGCCTTAAAGAACAACTGTTAGAGATTATCCCTACGTTCATAACATCTATTATTATAGATTATATCAGTTTTGTATGTTATAATAACTTGACGACCTAAAGTGAGAGAAGCTGATACAGAGGGGAAAAACAGGAAAGGAGAATATGATTGGTCCACGTGTGTGACTGGCAGTGAACTCACAGAGTAGTTGTGTGGTGACAGTAAACCTGACTGAGGATAGTAAGCATTACTTTGCAGTGTGGTCAGAGTCTTATTGTGAATTATAATGACATAATTAAGTGACACGTAGATGAGAAAATTACATGATTTTTTTTCAATCTGTCATCCAACCCCTCATTCACAGGCCAGCACTGATGCTGGTAGCGGCGGCACTCTCACCCCTCACCATGTGCGTGCACATTCGTCTCCAGCTTCCCTTCAGCTGGGGGCTGTCTCCGGTGGCTCCATGTCCGGCATGCCCCCGGCAGGTGCTTCCCCTCAACATCTCCGTCAATCCTCATATGAGATTCCCGATGACGTTCCTCTTCCGCCTGGTTGGGAGATGGCAAAGACTGCCTCCGGCCAGAGATACTTCCTCAAGTAAGTTTGCATGACACACATGGAGAAAAAAATATCTTTAGGTTAGTTTACATAGCAGGTACCAATTACAAAGAGCATCGGTTATTAAAAAAGACAGAAAACTTTGGATGTGTAAACACACATTAAATGAAATCCAAAGAAGACACAAAGAGCAAACACAGTTTATGTTGAACTTGTGTCTTGGCTGTATACTTTTAAAAGAGGCAGTTTTTAAAATACTGCCAAAAGGCGTTTATACGGATTAAAACGTATCTTAGACGAAAATATATAACATAGTGTAACAAACATAGTTACTAACACGAAAGGGTACAACTTTCCACCCAGACTAATCCAAGTCACCAGAGAAGTGGTGCTGAGATTGACACTTTTCTCTGGTACATTAGCCTGACAATAAGTGAATCTGCTACTGTGTGTAATGGTTGGCCAGTGTGCTGAGAAAAGACAATTGCATTAGTTAAATTGTGGGTCATTCACTTTGGTGGCCTCTGCAAACAAGAGTCTTTTGAGGAATGGCTGCTGCTGTATGTGGAGTTACTTCACTGCTTCTCAGGTTTCAGTAGAAACAATGGACCTCTGTAGCTGTCCCAGACAGCTCTGCAAAACTCATCTCCCACCAAGGAGCACACTTCTGGCTCCACCGCAAACTTTCAGCTCTTTTGAATCGTTACTTTTAATATTGATTTACACATAAAATGTTTTCTTGTAAAGTTGTTGTTTGATGGATACAAAATAGCAGAGCTTATGACCATTTTTTCCCCAGTAGCACTTCGTCGTTGATCAATGCGTGAAAACATTCTGCTGAATTACCATGTTGTTTTAGGATTCAAGGAAAAAAAAATTGAGGACATATTTGTGACTGACACCGGTGCTAGTACAAATAACATTTGGTAGAATGGACTCAAAAATTGTCACAAATTGTTTGCGGACAGTAGCTCTAAATGCCACTGCCATTAAATGTCTTTTTCTTATTTTCTGTCACAGACAAGTAAAAAAAAATGGAATTATTTATAATTAAAATGGTAAAAAAAAAGAAATTATAAATTAAAATACTACAGTCAATTCTCTAATTTCAGAGTCACTCTCTAGTTTGTGAGTACTTATTGCCCTGCATATGAATGTGTGGGTATTATAATGTATGGACCTTCTTGGAGGGAGCAGATTGAATTATTCATGGAAACAATGTCTTTGTCAGCAGTTAATCCATTCATTGTGAATGTCCTTGCGTTTATGGAACAGTCAGCCGCCCATGTTTAGAGATGATCTGACGCTGAAAGCCATCATTCTTACTCCCTTTCGAGACACGATGTTGTCAGTTGCAGGAAATATTATTCCCTTACACAGTGTCTGAACAAACACCATCGCCTCAAATTTACTTAGAACAAAAAAGGTGGAGAGAAAGGGAGAGCTCTCAGTACCAGATGTTTTCAGGTTCACATCTGGAGAACATCTGTTCGGTTTGGAGGAGGATCTACTAAAATTGTCTTAAAAGACTTGGGTTTAGGAAGGAGAGAACACTTTTCTCATGGTTTGTTACAGTCCAGAAACTGACTGATCCTGTGCCCTAACAGGTGGTTATTTATGTTTCTTTAAGTCTAAATTTGGTTAAAAACCATAAAGATAACATACGTACTATGACTAAATATGTAAAAAAGCTAACTAGTAGCTTCTGCTACTTCCAAGTTAAATTCTGAGAAGCAGCTAACTAGTGGCTAACTGTTGCAAACACTTGTGAGGAAACAGTAACTAGAAATTTAAGATCTCCCCAGTCTAAAAGAACTGTATCTTTTGTGAATATGGTTTTGTTAATAACAATGTTTGCAATGCTAATGCTAATCAACCTCTACAGAGCCATTTACTGTCAAATTATTTATATATGAATATATATATATATAAACACATATATAAACACAAAGAGAGTTTCCCATAGTGTATGTGTTTTTCATAAGTAAAAGTAAAGAGAAAATCTTGCATACGGCTCACATCAAAGTGCAGATACTTGATCTAGAATAAAGGCTGCCTCCACACAGCTTCGGGAAAAGACACTCCCCTATTTATAACAAGGAGTTGTCTGACCAAGACATGTTGCAGGAGGAGTGAAGCTGAGCAGGAGTGTGTGGGTGGTTAGTGGACGGATGGGTGGGGGTGGGGAGATGGTCACCAGCCAGCAGAGCTGCTGGGAATCACATTTCACCCAGTTGATCTCCTGAGAGATCTATCAACTTTAAAGTGAAAGTTTTTTGGTTTTTTTTTGTAAAAGGTGCTTCTCCCTCCTGTTATGATTTAGTATCATTTATTTTGGGAATGGTTGGCCTCCGTGAGTCTCTACAGTTCCTTACATGCCTATGTCCCACTCCCTTTAAAAAAAACCCAAGGCTCAGATTTGGATGAATGGAGCTGTGACACTGTGATGGTGCCTCCTTTGTGTCAATGGAGTTAAATGGCAGCCGAGGGGAGACGACTAGAAGAGAAGGCCAGGGAAACTGCGACCCTCCCTTTTGTCCCCAGCAGTGAAACAGTGATCTTTATTCAGACCACAGGCCTGTTGAGACTCATGTGAGCCTTCCCAAAATAGACAAATGGCTGACGTGACGTTTGAAGATGGTTGGTAGAGAGGGTTGTGTCTTTCACGAGAGCTTTATCCTGTTCTTTAGGGCTTAATGTTCAACTACCATCAGCCTGGGAGTTTATTGTTGCTCAGATGATTAAAGAAATTATACTCACAACAATAATTACAAAAATGCTACATATTTTATTTCTTCAGTGGCCTAAAAATGATATGTCTACAGCAGCAAGTAACTGAAAGTTGTAATACAAATGGAAAAAAAAAGTATCGCGAACATTTTTTGTTTTGTCTAGTACATTAAAAACACAACCCTGAAGCTTGGAGAAAATTGGAAAAATGTAAACAAAGTCTGTTGAACTTTCCTCCTCTTTCTTGCTGCAGTTTGCTGTGGCCTTTAATTTATGGCAGCTGGGGCACAGAGGTTGGTTCACCTTGTTTGGTACTCAGCCTGGGTGAGAGGATTGGGGGAGGTGGTGTAGTCTCGAGGGCTGGGTCATAAACTAATGAAGGTTTCTAATTTAGACACACCGGTGAACCAGGAGGGGTAATCACTGTTTCCGGGTGCTTATTAAATGCAGCTTTGAATGAGCTTTTAGTCCGTGGGAAGTCGGCCCTGAGCAGTGAAGAGGTTTGGGGGAGCAGCTATTGTCTGCCCTCAGGGGCAGGTAGAGCTGCGTGCTGATGGAAACTTTTGTCTTTCCTCAATTGGATTTTAAACTGTTTTGATGAGCCTGTTTCCCACAACTTAGATGTGTGTTTTTTTAGGATAGAAATTAACTAATTATTTGATTTTGTATTTAAGTTATCTTTTACTGTCTGGGTTTCTTTTTACGTGCATTTAAACTGGGACACCAAATAGACACATGTAGGTAACTCGACTATAGCTTCCATGTGTACATTGTCTAAAGTTTCCTGAACATCTGTTGCTCTGAATAGAAGTCATGGCCCCTCATGTAAGACTGGACACATCAAAGTTCTTTTTTTTTATCCCTTATGTTCTTGTTGTTGTATCTGTTGTCTGTAGTACCAGCTGTCTGTTAGTATGATTGTCTGCTTTAATTTTGTATAATACATTTTTTGGGCGAGACATGCATTAATTTAGTTTGTTTGCCAAGTTAAAAACTTAACTAGATTCTTTAGTATGAAAATAACAAATCAATTTCTAAACAAATCTTCGATTTAACTATTTTAGGGAATTACTTTTTTCCCGAGGGGTTCCTTTCACACAAAATCTTATGTTTTTAAAATGTTTTTGAGGGTTAATAAACCTGAGCAAATAAAATCAAACACACTTGACAAAGATGTAAGGATAAAAATATTCAAAGGTGCATGGCCTAACTTGCTTTAGCTGGTGTTTTAGCTTTTTGACTTACCATTATAAATAAAGCATCAGGTTATTGTCTAGTTCATGGCAGTGCAACTCAAATGCTACTGAGCTGTCACAGTTTATTGGCATTTCTCACTATTCCTAATCAGTGTTGTCACGTTTACTTTCAATCTGCACAAAGGTTTGAAAAACTCAAATTGGATTTAAAACTTAGCCATGATGGACTTGACGCCAATAGGTTACTCACAAATGGTGCCAGGAAGACTAGGCTGTGAGCTTGCATGAGGTCTCATTTGGTGCAGCTTTGTGTTTGACAAACTTTTGGTTTATTGACCACACACAGACAAGACCCTTCCTGTTCAACTGTGGCCTGTCAGCTTAGTACACAAATGGGACTGTGAGAAAGTCCGCCTAGTGTTTACCAAAGTCTTGATGTAACACCTCTATCCCAGACATCAATGCCTCCACTGTCACTGAGGGCATCACCACAGAGATGTAGTATCTGAGAAGTAGATCCTCTCACTTGGTGTTTGGTTCCTGGTAGTACTTAAACTAAGAACAACTCATGACAACTTGAAAACAAAATTAGGAACTACCTGTTTTTTTTTGTCTATTATAATGTGTTTCCATTGATTCTACATAGTACAAGTAACAGGAAGGTGGTGGCTTTATTTGTCTTGAACTCTCTGAGACTTTCTGCTGATACAGTACATGCAAATGGTAGATATAGTTATAAAGCTGTGCTTGCTGGGGTTTTTGGTTTCAGGTGTTGACTAAGTGTGAAGATTTTAAATAAATACTATATATTATATATATATATTAGAATACCTCATTATATGGGAGGTAACCATAATTCACTGACAGGCAATATATATGGCAAGTGGCCTGGAAGCACCTTAGATTCCCCAGAAAGAGTATAAAAACACCGGGTGGTCTAGAATACCCTGTTTAGGCTCCAGCCCAAAGCTAAACCTTGCATAAAATATGCATAGAAAATGAATGGACCAGAAAAACACACACCAACAAGTGGAGGGTCCAAAGACTTTCACAATCTATTTAAGAGTCCAGACTCTACCCTGGGGTCCCATTCCAGAAAAATCCTTTCACTAATGATCACTTTCCAGTTTTTGGTGATGTTGTTGCTTCACCAGGAAGCGAGATGCTACAAACACCACATCAAAGGGGAACTTAGCGCTACAATAGGGTCACAGAGGTCTTGCCAGTAATCTCTCTTGATGATGGCCTGCTGATAGAGAGGCAGCAATGAATCCTCTGTCAACTACAAGAGAAATGGTCATCCTTGTCTTATAGGCCTGATTACATCTGGCCTCCTTCCGTGGGCTCTTTAGACATCGGCTTTAACCACCGTCCAAGCGTATACTCCCTGGGTGGAGCCCCTGTGGCCTGAGGATCCCATTTTTAACATTTGACAACTCAGCTGTGGGATGTGTTTCATCACTTCTCATAGCTTCACTACTCTGTTGTGCACCAGGGAAATGCAGCAATAAAAAATAGTTTCTGTAAAAAAAATCTCTTGTTCTGATCTGTTGTTCTGGATCACATTCACAGACACAGTTGACCTATATTTGGCTAAAACATTTTTCCTTTAGAGACATATTTAAACACAACAGTTTTACTGGGTTAAAGCAGACATGCTGTTTTTGTTTAGTGTTGGTCCCTGTGTTTTCACTACAGTGACAATCTTCTCAGTATTTTGCATATTAGCCTCGGTGTGTGAAGAAAGCGTTGGAATATTTTTCATATCTATTACTATCACAGGATTTCATAATAAAGGGGAGACTCACAGGGAGTCAAGTCTTTATTGTGTAAAATAGAGTAGTTTGTGACATCTGAAAAAAAAAAGTTTGAAAGCACTGTGACAAGCACTTTCCTGTCATTTGGTGGGATTTTCCTCTACCTCACGTTTCTCTGGTTACTTTTATTCTAGAGGAAAGGAACCTTTAAGAGCTTTGGAACAGTTCTGGTACTTCCTGGTTCATAGGTTGGATAAGTTGGATATCATAAATTAAAGGTGGAACTGCACCATTTAAAAAAAAATCACAACTTATGTTTATGTTGAATATACAAAACAAAAAAATATACTTTATGTGCAATTGGTGCTATCGAAAAGGCTCTAGCTTTAACCCAAGGTCAGGTTGAGTGTTGAGGCTGGAAGGTCCCAGGACGGATTATAAATAATGTTGGCACAATAAACGGCAGCTACGTGAGTGGGCCATCAGTCAAGGAGATGTCAAGAGCCTGGGTGGATCCAGCGTCTTACTCTGCCCTCTGCCTGAACACACTCAAACATGATGACAGGCTGAGCAAAAATTAGTAAGTGGAACACCATTGTACAGTCATACAACATGATAATGGGCCCTGTTTTTTAACTGCAGTGCTGTCCTTGTAAACGGCAGTACCTGGCTATTTACAGGAGCTGTTGAAGGCGGCAATACTAGTGCATCATCAACGAATCACATTCTGACAACAATTCTTTTTGTGTATTTTTCATTTTCATTCACTCATAAACCAATAGTCATTGTCAGTATTATTTATAAAATATGTTATTTGGAAAGAATCACAACCATTAAAAAAATGGAACAAAACTACTGATCAGTGGCTTCAAAGACATTAGTGTATTTGGAATTTGCTCCACTATTGATTTGTTTGGTCTTGCAGTGATATGTTATATAGTTCCATCTATCAGCCCAGTGTAAACATTTGCTTGTTATGAGATGATAAATGTTATCAAATCAAGGCCATGTCCCTCAGCATGGTTTCTACCAGCTTACCAACATACTCAAAAACTCTTGATGGATGTGTTCAAAAGACTTTACTCATATCAACATTTTATCATTTAAACCAAGATGTTCTTAACATTTTAATGCTGGCTGTTTAAAAAAAGGGTTTATTTCTGCTCTTGCAATATTTTAGTAGAAGTCAGAGTTTCAAATGCACAAGAGTAGTTTGGAATCTTTAGTTTCTGTCACAGTACAGATTTTCTATGGTATCTTATAACTCAAAACAGAAAGCAATGCAGTTGCTGTTGGTTGAAAGCTTGTCAAAAGTAAAGCAAAAATACCTAAATATATGAAATGAGTGAGATATGCAGATAAATAAGACCAAATGTATCAGAACAATATCAAACCTGTTAGAAATTGCTCGCATTGGCTCTGGTTGTGGACACCATTAGACAAAGTTTGACCTTTACTGGTTTTTCTTTGCCCTGTTGCGGGGTTAGACTTTAGGGGGAGGCACTGAAGCCGCCCCCCTGAGCTCACGTCTGTGTCAGAGACCTTCACAGACAACAGCTAGCAGTTGTGACTGTGGAGGTTGCAGATACATCAGCAATTCCTAACAGCAACTGGTGGCCTCCAGCTACCCCCAACAGTTGCTATGACATTGTTTTGTTTTATGTTTCACCTCCCGGAAGCGCTGTATAGCCCTGACCATATAGGGCCAGGGGCAGATTGGGTGAATGGATTATCTTTTACCTTTAAAACCCGGTGATGAATTACTGACTCCTAGTAACTCATTCACCAGTTTTCTCAGTTCCCACACACAGGGTCTTTGAATACTTCACATAGTATTCATTGGCTGCAGAGCGTCAGGATCATATCACAGAGCTTTTGATTATCATTGTACTGAAGCTTTGTTTTAAACAGCAGAAGTTTGATCTAGTGTTTGATGGAAACTCAATGTTCTCACTCTCATCAGTGCCAGGACGGAGCAGAGCGGCTCTGAGTGTGAGTGATGTTTCTTATCATCACAGATCGTGGAGGCATTGACTTTGTTTATTTCCATTTATGTTTTTCACTTTCTGTTTGGCATCGTGTACCAGGATGTGCAGGCCTCTCATTTACGATAAAGCCTATCTACACTCATGCCACTGTCTCCTCCCCTGTTCTCTCCTCCCCTCTACAATAAATGTCATAGTTTCCAGAGGGGGAATGAGGCAGCGAAAGAGGGGGTGGGGAGGGCAGGGCAGGCAGGCACTCAGGAGTGTAACAAGACCGCAGCAACTCCTTCAGCCAATAGAATTCTCCGGCATTACTTCTGTGGATGTTTTTTTTCTTCCTTCACTCCTTTTTCTTTTCTGTAGTTGTCTTGCCATGCTTGATGCGACCCCCTCTTTCTCAAGGGGCCCCTATGGTCTGAGCAGTTCCAGCTATTTTGCTTGGATTGTGGTGTTTGAGCGTGCGTGTGTGAGGGCTGGGGGAGGGTTTGGTAAGAGATTTGGCAGCTCCTTTGATCAGTAAAGCATAAACAAGAGGGGGGCTTCGAAATGGGTTGCAAATGGGGGGAGGAGTGCTGAGTCAGGCCCTCTTTACTCTTCGGTCTGGGATGGAGAGACAGGCGGGCAGGGATTTACCACAGCGGCCAAGACAAACTATCTGAATCTCTCACTTCACCCAGCTGTCCAAAATCTGGGCTAATGGCACTTTTGGAGCAAATGCACAGCCAGTTGTAAAGAATCACTCGGGGCAAGAGTACACACCCAGAATCTGATTATTACAGGGTGCCTGAGATAGATTGCATGTACCCTTTTATTTTTGGCGTGGGAAATTATTCAACTACGGCTGCAGCGTTACTGTTGAGAGTTGGGGTGTTGCACAAACAAGCCACGGGACTTTGCCTGCCTGTTTGTTTGAGATGAGGGAGGTCTCTTAAATGGGATGGTTCAAAAAACAAAAAAAAGGACAAGTGAATAGTGGGGTTTTAGGTCGTAGCTCAGTCTGTGCCTTTGTCAAGCAGGTGAAAGCTTTGTAAATGTGGCGCCAGATTGTTAAAGCCCCTGACACTCCACAGTGTCCGAGCCGCTTCCAGGAAAAAAGGACCCCCTGCATTGAGCCCTGGGACTGACCCTCCCTCAATAGAGAGGGTCCTACTCAGAAGAGGAGGGCTTCCTGTATTAGCTTTCCATCTTAATCAAGCAACAAGTACCAACAAAGCACTAATTATCAATGCCTTCACAGAATGCAACACAATGCCCCCTCCCCCTGGTGCCCACTCCCCACTCCTGTCTCACTAAAGAGTGAACAGAAAAAAAGTGGGAGCAAAATGGATGGGTGCTACTGTAGTTGGTTTTGAAACAAATCAGTGTGTCACACTAACCTGCTCTTATTATGACTTATTTACTGTATATCTGGCCTAGTTCAAGTCCAGGCACTGGCTCCTGCCAGGGCCAAACATTTTCTCCTTCTCCTTAAAACAAATCAATCTTGTACCTTTTTGCACCTTTTTGACAGTCTCTAGGCTCTATGCTGCTTTATTATTTCCACACCAGACTTCCCTACAAGAATCCCCTCTCTGAACATGAGACCAAATCTGCATTAGAATTATAGATCACAGTACAAAAAAGGAGAAACCAAAGTAACTCCTGCTCTTATTTGGTTTAAATCTAAAGCATGTGGACAGTGTGTAAATTTGTCTAATTAAATATCTTATGACTATGCTATTTGAATATATATGTATCTAAAAAATGCAATACTTTTCTGATATTTTCTGATATTAGAAAATCAAGTAGATTGGAAAAAATTTCACACCACTATGTTTTCAACATATTGCTTAATGAGTAAATCATTCATTATTCATCTTTACTAAATAGCTCAGCTGTACTGGGCCAGCCTCCCTCCCACATAAAAATACCAAGACGCTTCTGCGGCTCTGATCCAGGTTTTGGTTGAGAGTGGTTTAAACCCAAAACCTAAGAGTCAACACAAAATTCAGATTGATTTGTGAGTGCATTCTTGGTCCAGGCACACTTAAGTGAGTTCATCTTCAGGAACACCTATCCACAGATTAAAGAAAGAGGAGTCCTTTAAACTGCTCTGAAATCATCATAGATCCTGTATATGACTCCTAGTTTAAACTTATCACTAATAACTGACAGAACAAAAAGAAACCTTGTTTGTCTTTTCTGCCTACAGCCACATCGATCAGACCACCACTTGGCAGGATCCTCGGAAAGCCTTGCTACAGATGAACCAAGCTCCTCCAGCCAACACTGTGCCAGTCCAGCAACAGAACCTTATGAACCCAGCGAGTGGTGTGTACATTTGTTCATTTATATATTAATACAGCATAAGCTGTGTTCTTTCATTTGAGAGTTTCCTCTATTTAATGGGATTTCAAGGCTTTTTCTTAGTGTCAGATGAGATCATGGTGCAAGGCCGGGGCTGTTTTCTAGTTAATACATGTCACAGAAGAGTCGGTGCACCTCAGATCTGTCTGTGCAGTTGGAATTTGCCCAAGGCAGACTAAGACGGAGGCAGAACGTGACAGGTCCTGTCTGACATGTTTGGGAGCTCCGTGACTCACAGATTACAGAGTTCACGTATGAAGTGTCTGTATTCTTAAAATTGTCACCCTTCTGGCGACCTGTGAGCAGTAAGCATTCACATGATTCTGGTAGAATTGACATTTACCATTGGTAAATGAAGAGTACATTTTAATATTGACCATTCTTCATTGCCAATTATTTTTTAAATTTGTGACCAATTTACTTTTGTGGCACAGATTACGTTAATCTTCCTTTTCAAGATATAGATTTTAAACTTCTTTCTCTTTATTTATTTGTTACTTATTAACTTATTAACCCAGGTTTTGGATAAAATGTTCCTAGAATTTGTATTATTGTTGTTATCATTTCAATAGAAGACAGGTAGAAAAAAAAATACACCAGCTGCCAAGTTATCACTGAGGTGCACTAAGCCAGGCACGGTCCCCTCACACTGCTCCCTGGGCGCTTAAAGCTGCCACCTGCTTACTTTGGTGATGGGTTGAAAGCAGAGGTCATATTTTGTTGTGTGTGCAGTGGTGTGCTGTGTCACAATGACAAATAATTCCCTTTATTATTGAGTCAGTGACTGATCAACATTAAACATTAAATATAAATAAAATGCTTTCATGTTTCAAACAACATCACATATACCTGTCCTTCTGCAGGTGCTCTCCCTGAGGGCTGGGAACAAGCTATGACCCCAGAGGGTGAGATTTACTTCATCAACCACAAGAACAAGAGCACATCCTGGCTCGACCCACGACTCGACCAACGCTACGGTGAGCTCAGAACCGACAACTCTGTTTATTAATTAAATACAGTTTCTTGCTTTGAGTTCTTTAGACGTGTGAACAAACATTGTGTGACAAAGTAAACCTGGGAAACTTTGGGATTTTATGGCACTAGTTCGCTTTCTCCCTTTTATCTTAAACAAAGTTGTTTCACAGCACTGTGGTGAATACAGTATGACTCATGGTTCATTGACCACTTTCTGTTGTTTTTTGCATGACTGATTTGCAGGATTAGCTGTTTAGACTACAATTTCAACCTTCACGATCTGCACCCAACCTTTTGTCAGCCATTTTAGTGTTGGAGCAACAGCTGAGTTGGTCATTAATCCCCCCAGGCCAAGCTGCAGTTTGACACTTAGCTTTCAGTGTGTGGTGAATTAGTGACAAGGGGCCTCGTACGTGTTGAGACTCTGCGGCCATGGGAATGAGCTAATCCCCCCTCTGTGCCCGGAAGAGATGAAAGTTCCTGCTTATGTCACTCTGACTCATTTCTGCTTCAGGTGCCATCCCATTATTAGAGCAGTGTTTTCCTTGGGAGCTCACACTGGTTCACAAAAGTCACCACCTGTGAATCAGTGCACTGCTTGTTGTTCTGGTTAATTTTAGCATCACTTTTTTATGGTGAACCCAAGCCTTTAAAGTGTGTTTTATTTCTTAACAAAAACATGTCTGCAGGCAGGAAAGTTGAAAACAGACTTTTAAAGAGAGTGAGTCTGCTGGGCAGATATGGCAGCTTCCATCACTGAGGCTCTTTGAAGATTTATATGTCCTGAACACACAAAGCAGCTTGGCTAGTAAAGTTGAGTGAGCAGGGAGAAAAACATGAAGTTAACCCATTGTTGGCTGTCAGAAAAGTTCATGTTTCATAATTTTGAGACTTTGAAAAAAAAAAACAAAACATAAAAACATTCCACATTTAGTGTGTTTTTATGCTTCTTATCTAATTTTCCTATTTAAACCCCCAATGTGCATTATAAACTTCTTCGCAGGTCTTACAAAGTCCTTCGATCATAAGCCAACAGCTTTGATAAAGAAAGCCAATTAAAGCTTTGAGGACAAATAGCAGCAGAGCACCTTTAACTGGGGGTTGCTGCTGACTGGCTTTTCCCTGCGTGAGGCCCAGTGCTAGCGCAGCCCCATCCTGCTACAGCTCCAGACAGGCTTGAATCTCTGCCAGACCTCTTTATTCTGCGCTCCAACTCTTAATCTGTTCCAGACTTTTTCAGTCAAATAGCTCCAATGTGAGAAGGGAGGTGGTAGAGGGGAAGGGAGAGAGAGGCAAAAGGCGAAGAAAGGAAAACAGAGGGGGAAAACACAGACGGGATGAGCATGCATCCTCTCTAGGCTCCTGGGAGGTGGTGAGCAGGACCTGAGGTCAGAGGGTGGCTGGCCTCTGAAGATGTGTTGTTCTTTGTACACACCATTAGAATAGAAGCTAAGCTAAAACAACTTTTTTTTTATTTTAGTGGAGAAAGAAACAACAATTTTTTTTTTATCCTAACTCCACTACAAAAATTTTAAATGCCATTTTGTCACATGGATAAGCTGACAACCTCTATATAATTTCCCCAAACATGGAAAGTAAATCAGTGTTTGGTCAGTAGAGGCTGGTTTGACCAAAGCAAATTAATATTTAGAAAATAAAAATGCAGATAAATATTTACTAAGCCTAAGGGGTGTTAGGCTCTACTCCTACATAAAGTTTCCCACCACAGACACCCCCTCACCTCTACCTGCCCCAGGTGATCATGTGGTGTACTATGTCTGCCAGTGTGATTGTCTGATAAGATGTGTTGCTGGCTCGTTGTGCTGCGGGAGTGCGTGAAGTAGACAAAAGGCAGACAGCATTAAGGTTTCTCTTATCTGCTTGGCCTAGCAGCTATCGCTGCCTGACTTCTACGACCGACTTCTAGCCTCTCACACACAGTGTTCTGGGCCTAGTCCTCCCTTCGAGCTATCACTGTGGCCCTGGACTGAACCCTGTCGCTTGGCTCCTATCACACACACAGCTGAATTTCCAGTTGAAAACACTTGCTGTTGGTGCATAGTTTCTTTGCAGTACCATCAGCAACTGTGAACTGTTTGGTCTGTCAACGAAACCTTGACGATCAGTAGAAATGCTTTTGTAAGAATGTGCCGTATAGTATGCTGTGCTTTAGTTGAGAGATTCACAAACTTCATTCATCACAACCCAGTTTTTAAGGTCACAAGACTCTGTGGCTTAATTAACAACTAAATCCTGTCCCAGAGCATAATTTACCTGGTGTTTAAGTCAGTTTACACACCTCAAATAAACCTTTTAAAACACCTGGAAGAAAAGAAAAAGCTTTTTGGTATGTGAAAGGTGATATTTTTAGTGTACGGATTGTATCTTTTTAAATACCTTATACTGAAGTCAACGATTTTAACCCGGGGGTTGTATATATACTTAAAGTACATGACAGTACATGTAGTCCAATGTTCTTTTCTAAAGTTAATGGCTTGAATGTGAATGTAATCCTTTGCAAAACCCCAAAACTCAAGAAGTCAAAAGCTAATACAATAACCAGCAGTGAATTACTAAAACGCTTTGGTGAAAATATAGAATTTTAACACAGGTTTGCAAAAAAAGCTACAATTTCTACAAGATATCATAAGATTAGCCAAATACGAATCTACAAAATGTAACTCTAATTACAATGAAGCAAATAGTGAAACCCCATACAAAACAAAGTTGAAAGACTTTAATGGAAGTATCGCTTTATGTTTGAAAATGATGTAATTAATGTGATTAATTTATACTGCAAAAACAGATACTTGGGATTTTCTCAAGTATTGATGAAGAATTGATGTCCACAGAGATGAGTTACAGACAGAAAGAATACTTAACCAAAAGACTAACAAAGTAAACTAAATAAATAATTTATCATAAAACTTATTTTTCGCCATATTACATAACATTTCCTAGCATGTCATAAAGACAGCCTAAATAGAGTACTATTTAATGCAAGGTTGTTAAACCCTATCTTCTGAAGTACGGCCCTAACAGATCTACATCTGCTGACAAGCCCCATGTGCAGGACACGAGAGAGCAGCTAATGGTGCCCTGATGGTGCAGTGATCCAGCTACAAAAGGCCCCACTATCTGCATAGATAAGAAGCTCACAGAAGTTACACACTCTCCCGTCAGCTCAGTTGATATGTGTGTGTAACTGCTCCACGCTTGTGTGTTTGTGTGCATGTGAATGTAAATGTGCTTGGGTGGAGTGGGGTTGTTTGGGGAGGCAGCGTGACCAGAGGGAGGGAGAGTGAGAGGGAAGTCAGAGCAGGGTGGGGCCTGCAGAGCTTCCCAGGGAGAGCCCTGAGCCGCAGTTCATTCAGCTGGTTAGATAGTGTAAACAGTGATTGAATGGTGATGAGAAAGGTGCCGGGGTAGGCAGGGCAGGGCAGGGCAGGACAGGACAGAACACAGAGGGAGAGCGGAGAGGCTTCGCATAAAAATTGTGCCCCAGTCAAGCCTTTGTTTTGGTTGTTGCTTCAAGCGTATATGCAAACGTTGCTCGTCATTGGTCAGTTACCTTTACACCCCTCGTGGTCCAGCACATTTGCCTGTCGTCCTCTGCTTGGATGATAAATAAAACGTGTGACCTACTTTGCATGCGTAGATTACAGCATTTGCCGTGCTGCCTCTCGCTGGTGTTTATTGTGTCCCCCCCCAGAGTAAAGAAAAACAAAGATTTCACTGGGGAACAGCTGTGTTTTCACAACACACACGTTACTTCTGACATACAGCCGGCCCACTAAGTGCAGAGCGTACTCTCATTTGTTAGGGGATGGAATTTTGAAGCTTAGGTTTTAGATAAATGTGGCTTAGTTGCACAATGCCCCTCATATTGCGTTCATTAAATCAGCTGCAGTGAGCCCATCAGGCCAGAGCTGGGAGGCTGTGAGTTTTTAAGGAATAATCTGTGGCTTGTTTAGAAGTTGGAGGAGAGAGAGGGGGCAGAGGGGTGGGAGGTGAGGAACACAATGAAAAGATAAGTCATGACTGATGCAATGTACCAAAGTAACAAAGCCTGTCTTAGTCAGTGAGTGGGAGGGGATCAGGTCTTACAGGAACAGTGATTGTTTCAGACACTAGGTGGAAAACTTGTAGTGGGACTCATGTCCTACACAACCTGCTGCACTGGCTCTTTTACAAGTTCAACACGTAGACCAAAAGTTGAAGCTGTCAGGCTTGTTAAGCCAAGCCTTAACATATGAACCTGCAGGAGCTTCACAGGATATGAACCACTCAACTTTTAGGACATGTGGTATTTCAAAATTACAAATGAGCCAGATTGTGGCTTCAGAAAAAGTCCCGATTTCATCACTGTTTATGTGCAGTTTTTATGAACCTACAGTCAGAGTAGTCCTTTATTTTTGTTCAATCTGTTTCAACCTTTTGAATCATTCACAGTATTTTCAACAGTGTTTTTGGCTATTTTGACATTTTTGCTGTTTGTCTTTTTGCCTTTTTATTGAAATACTTTTAAATTTTTAATCACTTTTTCAACCTTAATGCTTTCAGATGCCCATTTTTGATTGAGAGTACTGATTAGAACTCAGCTCTTGGGTATTTTCCACATTATTGTCTTTTATCACAAAGATTTGTAAAAAAAGAGTACAAGAAACTTTGAATAAAGCTAGAATAATTAATCAAACTTTTTAGTCTGTAAAATAATCATAATTACCATTGCCTTAGCTGTGTGTATTGTTTTTTATGCTACTGTCCAAAAATGTTGTTAAGTGGATAAGGGGAAAAAATGAGACAACAATACAAAAACTGTGACTGTTGTTTTAAATCTAATCCTCGTTTGGCAAGAATGAGGCAGTGCAAAATCATTTTAATAGATTAAGGATTAATCCTAGACAGAATCTTAAAATCAGTGTTGAATTAACAAGTTGTCAAATGTGATTAAAAAGTAAGCCCTGGCTCATTTTAAGTACTTGGCTGGTATCCATATTTACTGTTTGTCTCTTTCTGCAGCGCTGAACCAGCAGAGGATCACCCAGAGTGCCCCAGTGAAACAGGGAGGCCCACTGCCCCCCAATACGCACAGTGGAGTCATGGGGAGCAACAGTCAGATGAGACTGCAGCAGATTGACAAAGAGCGGCTGAGACTGAAGCAACAGGAGCTGCTTCGACAGAGACCACAGGTCAGGAACCAGAGCTCAGGGTCCTCTTATGTAGTCACAGGTCTGACAAAGGAATCAAAAAGTTCACTGGGTCAGTAGTTTTCAGCACACCAGGGTCTGGACTCTGGACTCACAGTCGCTCACTTGTTTATGTAGGAAGGCACAGGGTACACTTTGATGGCTTTTTAAATATGAGTCATAGCTCCAGTGGTGGATCCTAGGGCTCTTTGATGTGCCAACATTATACAGTGCTGTAGTGACAAACTCACTCTGAGTCATCTGTGGTAATTTTATAACTTCCTAGTGGTGATGTGTCACAGAGCCGCCCACTTACACATGGTGGTGAAGCTTTAGTTTTGCATTTACTCAAGGCTGTGTCACAACAACAGAAACTGAGATTTATGGTTATGAATGGCAGTGGCTGTGACTTTGTTTGCCATCACAGTCACACTGGATGTTTGACATTCAGTGTTTAGGAAGTGACCTGAGTGTGATTCAGATTTAACAAATGTGCCTCGACATGCCCCGCATGTTAAACTAACCTCAGTGAAATCAACTCGGTGAAGGGTCATTGAAGGAGAAATCTGGTTTCCATTTTGGCGTACAGGTTTAAAGCTGGGCTGAATTCACTAAATGAATACAAAGCCCCCTGACCCCAACGAGTACTGGAAGTCATTATGAGTAATTTTAGGTGCAACTGTTAGTTATTTTCATCAGGTTGCACTGCGATTTTTCTGTGACATACATCACTAGTCAAATAGTGAGACAGTTAACAAGTGTTTTGGTTCAGCTTAGTGTTTTCATTCTGCCCCAATTATTTTCATGTGTCTTTCTTAATATTTACCTTACCATTTTTTTCCAAAAATGTCAAATAGTTAGAACAAAAGAATATAATTTAAAGTAGAGAATCTGTCTATTTTATGAATGATTTTAATACTTGTATTTCAATGCCCAATAATTAATTTGCATAACATTCTGTATAGACATTTTCCAAAAAGATTTGCAAACACCTTTAAAATTCTATTTTAAAAATTTTAAAAGAAAAAACTCAAACTTTTACTTACAATGTTCTGAAGTTGACACATTAGGTCTAGACACCCATTTATTTTGGTCAAACAAAGATTGCGACTTTAAATGCAGCCCTGGGGTTATAGTAGATGTGGAGCTATATTATTTACATATTGTGTAATGGAGCTGACTGTATGTGTGCAGAGGGAGTTCAGATGAAGGACAAAAGTAGCCAAACCCGTAGTTTAACTGTAAAGATCAGATAAAGAGAGAATACATCCAGTGGATCTCAGTTAAAAAACTGATACTGCTCCATTCATTCACACACTTACACACCCTTCCATCATAACAAGACTATTGAAGAAAACACTGTTAAGTACTTTGTTTTGGTACAATTTGTACTAATGAAAAGGCTGTTTGGACAACGTTTGTTTACAAGAAAGATCCGATGAACTGTTTAAAAGGCTCATATCTCAGTGTCTTCCTCTTCGTCGCCATGTGTGACCTTAAATGTCAATTTAATGTAAAAGAACAGAGTGAGTCTGGTCACGTCCGTGGGGCTTCCTGTACCAGTGCCATATGGGAAGGAGGTGAAAAAAAACACATGACTTCATATCCTCAGCCTTATCTGATAGAGCATGTGTAGAAAACAATTGTCTCCAACTGTGGTTGGCCCCTCAAGTAATCTGACACCCTATATGGGCAGAAATGGCCAGCAGCCATGTTGAAAGTCTGCGTGTGATTCTTTAATCTATCTTCTACTGCTCTGACGGTTTAACAGCAGTAAAACTAGACATGTTCAAAATATTTTGAACACTGATGCTGTAGCTGTGTATAATTATCTTCCAAGGTCGGTGTGAGGGCTGAAGTCGATTGTTTTGCTCATGTGTTTTCTTGCTTTTCATCTCCCACAGGAGCTAGCACTGAGGAATCAGCTGCCGAACAGTATGGATCAAGATGGCGGCACCAACCCAGTGTCTTCCCCCTTGGCTCAGGATGCCAGGACCATGACAGCCAACAGCTCTGATCCATTCCTCAACAGGTTGGTGATGTCAAGCAGATCTAATTGAGATTTTTCTCATGGCCATTCTCACAAAAAGAGAGTTGCTCTGCAGCTATTGAGTATTCAATTTAAAGGGAATCTATGTGCTGCAGTGTTTACACTTGAGCTTTAGTGAGAGCTCTTTCAGTTACACAAGGAGTTAAAACAGAAGGTCACTCTTTGGACTTAACCCTCTTCACATGGTTGTGACTCATTTGAAGCCAGCAGCTCAGTGTCTAAGTTCTTTGCACAAGGACGACCTCTGGTGGACATTTTTTGTAATTAAGTCAAACACGCACACAAGTGCTTTTGCAACTCTGAGACAAAAAATGTGGATAAACTAAAGATACAGATTTTAGATGTAAAAACCTGCCCCAGGTCAGTCTGGGAAATAAACGCCTACCAATTCAAACTACAGTTTCTCAGTAATGGGGACAAAGCAGGCCATGGAGACGTGGTCCAGTCAGTAGACAGACCAACCTAATCTCCCCTCCTCCCTGCTGCCTTCACTCCCCTGCTCTCACAATGGCCTCATTCATCCTGCCACTGCCATACTCTGCCTACATATTTTCCCTCTTCTAATTAGTATAGGCTTGTCAAAAGTCTTCTTCACTCTCTCCTTGTCTCTTTTGCGCTTTTTAAAGTTGCCCCTTTTCCATATGTTTCCTCAGTTAGAGAACAGCTGGTGACACTGAGAACATGTAGCTGAAAGGATTTGAAAAAGAAATTGAAATCTAAATGTGTAGATGTTCCCTGGTAAAACAGGGGAAAAGCCTTTACTGTGTACTATTGTGTTGGTCATTAAAGTCATCTTAGGGATAATAATTTTTCTTTCAAGTCTAATTAAAATATTAATATTTGCTAAAAACACATCATATATATAATTAAAATTTTCTCTTTTCTTCTCTATTTTGAAACTTTCAGCGGGACCTACCACTCCAGGGATGAAAGTACAGATAGTGGCCTGAGTATGAGCAGCTACAGCGTCCCTCGCACACCAGACGACTTCCTCAACAGTGTCGATGAAATGGACACAGGTGAGGCTATACATACATACATATATAAATACAAAATTCTAAGCTACAAATGCCTTCTGTGTAAAGCCTTTCTCATCTTTGCTGCTAATTTGGTATGAATGGCCTCAGATAGGGTTGCAATACAAAAACGTTAGTACTTAATTAAAATTGTTGAACATTAGCAGAGGATGGTTTCGATCCATCGACCTCTGGGTTATGGGCCCAGCACGCTTCCACTGCGCCACTCTGCTTAGATGTGTATGCATGCCTTTGTCATCCCTGGTGAAAAGCTATCTTCTGTCTTATAAAGTACAGCAGTGTAGATGTGAGAATTCATTGCACTATAGTAAATTGTTCTGAAACTCCTGAATAGCAGTTGTGTTTATTTTATTCTCACTTTCTAGCTAACGCCCTCTTTTGAATTTTTGTTTCTTCTTCTTTAGGAGACCCGCTTCAGTCGACCATGGCAACACAGCCCAGTCGTTTCCCAGACTACCTGGATGCCATCCCAGGAACAGATGTGGACCTGGGAACCATGGAGAGTGAAAGCATGGCAGTAGAGGGCGAGGAGCTGATGCCCAGTTTGCAGGAAGCCCTGAGCTCCGACATCCTCAACGACATGGAGTCTGTGCTGGCAGCCACTAAGATTGACAAGGAGAGTTTCCTCACATGGTTATAGAAGCCCCCAGTGGGGCACTGCTGACTCCTCACACTACACTCTAAACTGCTGCCTGCTCTGATCTGTGAAGGATTCATAGATGCTTTTACAAGACATTTCAGCAAGCCTCTCTGGTCTTCTGTCACCCAAGACCACAACCTTTCCCGAGGCTGAGTCGTTTTGTGTTCTTTTCTTTTTGTATGTTATCTCTTTATTTTGTCTGTGTCTTCAAGGCTGGCCCATGAACAGACAATTACGCAAAAGGGTCCCCACATCATTCACAGGTCTATGAGTTAAACTAAAATATCACCTCCCAGAGCGGAGGGTCTCTGCTTCTCCTCCCTCCCTTGAAGCTGAGCCTTGCAGGTCACGTCTGCATGGACTGTTTATCACCAGGGATCTCCGCCTTCTCTCCCTTCTTGCAGTATAACGTGAAGCAGCACTACATTAACTGGTTGTTGGGACTTCTGCATCGTAGCTTGAGTAGGTTTACATTTGGCCTTGTTAGTTTTTCTTTGACTTATTTAGTCTTTATTTACCGAGCCTGAACAACCAAAAATGATGTATTTGAAGCATTAAGAACAATACTGATTTGGAGTTAAGGCAACATGAGGCCTTGTGTGGATGCGTTGGCTTTGCTGCAGGTGGTGGGCAGAGGGTTGACGCCTGGGGACCGCCTTCATTGCTGCTTGGCTGTGCCAACAAAGTCTAACTTAAACCTTGGATAGATTTAAGTGCCTTCAGTTGTATTTTTTGAGACGCGAGCACCACGAACAATTTTCTGTACCACAATAAGCATTGAGGCTGGGGTCACAAATATCCCCCCGCTTTTCTTCTATATAATGATCAATAATCACAATTGTACCTTTTGTTTTGTAAACATACAAGGGGATTTAGGGAATACGTTTTTGTTTCAGTCTTATCAGGCCTAAATCATAGTTTATTCTTCATTTTATCTTTTTAGATTTGTCTTTATTTTGTAGGTTACTACATTTGTATGATAGCGTAGCTCAAAAGGCATTTGTGCTTTTGCTGTTAATTTCTTTCCTAGACAAATGTATGCATTTAACAGGGTTGACTGTTATCAGAGCCTCACTTCACTCAGAACCAGTGCAAAGACACAGGTTGATGCAGTTTTGACCTCTTGTTTTAGCTGATTCACTTATTGTCTCTTATTTACTTATATACATATACGTGTGATTTTTTTTTTTAATGGGTCACATGCAGCTTTTACTTTATCTTTTCCTGAACATTAACCAAAAAAGCAAAAAAAAAAAAAAGTCTTGGCTTAAAGAAAGCTGAGGCTCTTTGTTTTTAATCAAACACACCCTGACATTGTACCAGAACAGTTCCTGATGGGTTTAGAACCTCTGTTAGATAGTGTGCTACATGTTGAACTGATGGATATGGAGACTAGAGTGAGTTTAAAAGAAGGTTTAAGAGTTACGTCGAAAGGTAAAGTAAAGGATTAGGGTTGGTCTGGTTGGCATCAACTGAGGTGATGTGCGGTTTTCTTTTATTTTTATGATTTTTTTTTATAATAAAAAAAAAACAATCAGTTATTTTCTAAGTCAGGAATTGTAGCAGCAACTTCCAAAGATGTATCTTTTTGTTTTTGCTTCCACTTTAACCGAGTCCAGAAATATGTTGAAAGTCAACCTCCATTTAAAAAGAACTGTATAAGCTAACGAGAAAATTTGGTTGGTATTTAAGTGTCTGTGGTCACGTCTGAATGAGTGAACCAAGTCTATATATGAGAGTTTCTGATTTATGATTTTTTTAAAAACAATGTTTTTGCGTGACTAACCCTGAAGATGGTAAAGATACAGTTTTTGCAAAAGAGATGAAACTCAGTACGTTTACATGACATGAGGACAAAGTGAAATCTTGCATTAGTCTGACCAGAACTGGACTTTAAAAGAAATGTAAATGTGTAAAACTGACTGGAACAGCAAGTTCTCAAAATCAAACATATATTCAAATAGTTTAGCTAAAAATCGGCTTCTACCTGCAAGCAGGCTCCTTACTGCTCTGTTACTAGCCCTGGATCGAACACTAAGGAAGTATTCGAAGCAGCATGTCCTAACATTAGTACACGCTTCAAGATGTCGTCATTTGTTTCCCAAATATTCCACCGCAGGCATTTATCTCACATATAATCCAATTAAAACATGCAGCTCCAAGTATACTTAACACATGCTTTCAGCATTACTCTTTGCTAACAAGCTAACTCCAGTATTCCACAACAAGCGGGTAATAACCTCAAAATACCATTTCTGTGTAGGTTCTCAGTCATCCAGGCCACCTTATCCAAAAGTAGTTATATCAAGGGCAACTGGACTGGTGGAACAAAAGCAACCTATTGTAGTAACTTTATGTCACTGACCTCCATTCTATCGTGCCCATCAAATTTTTTTTTTTTTGATCGCCACAGTCTCCCTAAAATAATCTGAAACAATTGTGTTCCCCACCAAAGAAAGTTTTAAATGAAAGATTTAAAATGTGTGTCTGCCTATTGTACCTATTGATGGTGTATCACCATTGCCATGTACATCTTGTTCAGTTTTACAAGCAGCTTTGCTTTCTGCAGAAGCCTGCACTTTTTGGTTGATTACAATAAGTGGGCAGAGTCGGTTAACAGCGATACCAATATTCACTTCCACTGGCTCAGTGAAAGTCACTGAAGAGGTTACATTTGTATTTTTTTCTATGTTGTCTCTCTACTACATGAAAACCAACGCTATATGTAAGCAACGGTTAGTTGCTAAATGAATATATATATATGTATAGCATCATCACAAGCTTGGACACAAGTTGCCTGCTCTTAAATTCCGAGCTAACCATGAAGAAATATGGAGCACCTGAATAGCAAATCCTATATGAACGCAACTATGTGCATAACTAGTAATTAGTTTTGCTTGCAGCCCTATGCTAACAAGTTAACCATATACTGCTAATTAACAATTCAGCTTTTTGAAGAATATCCTAGGAAAGTCTAAATTCAGTTGAATCTTTGGATTTGCTTTCCAGGTCAGTACAAGACAGTTGTTGAATAATCCCAGTCGAGCTACAATATAAAACTGGCTCAACACAGCTGTGTATGTAAACGTATTGACGTTTTTTTCCATCTTTCATACTCATGGTTACATGTCCTCTGAGAAAGGAACAGATTCAGCCGCTGTAGCGACGACACACCTTCAACTCTCATAATCATGTTATCTCAATGTTTACACCATTGCTACATTTTTTATAATTACTGAAATAACCTCTGTGTAATCTGCCTGCTGTGTGTGCCCTCCAGAATTCATGTACCAACCATTACACTAATTGTAAGCATTAACTTGTTGGAACATTTTTTCTTTTTTTAGAATTGTCACCATGAACTTTTTTTATTCTGTGTGATGAACCTCTTTTGTTAGTTTTGACTTTATTAATCAGTAAACGATGATGGATCCAGATGGACAAACAGTGTTGGTAAGAACAATGCAACTAAAATGAGTGGTACACTGCAGTGCTCGTATTGCACAGCTTCAGAGTTTTTCATTTTTGATGCAATGATGCATTTGTCACAGACCTGATTTAATGCTTACCTAGTGTGTAACTGTCAGAGCATATTCGCTGTTGACCGTCGGTGTAGCAGTAGAACTAATCACACAAGTTAAAGGATTTTGTATTTAGAGTTTTCTAAATGCACATAAAATGATTTATATTCATTACTGATCTATTTTTAATAGATATGTGCATGAGTTTTAGAACAATAAATTCTGTTACATTATATCTTTCTTCATATGATACTTTGAAATTGACCTGAAATAAACTATATACTTTGTGGTAATATCTTTTATGAATGAGATGATTACAATGAATTATAATATCCCTGTGTTTCAAGAGCTTGTTGTACATTGTAAGATGCAAATTTCTTCAGAGGACCATGGACTAGTTTCACCCACCAGTAAAAGTTCCAATGCAACTCAAAGGCAAAGGCAGAGAAGCCCAGGGGAAAACAAGAGACCATGGTTCAAAATGCATGTGTGTCATTTTTGTCTTATATATATATATATATATATATATATATATAT